ACTCCCTTGGTGTCGTATGGTTAATGTACTTATTCTTTTTATCTCAAAAAAAGGTCTCTCAACAAATACATTTACCTTTTTTTTAACACAATAATGAGAATAATATCAGTTTATTCTATTTGGGTATACTAAAGCCAAATGCTTTCCCTGTTTTTGTTTTCTGAAGAACACAAAAAGAAAGATAGAGTTCTGCTTTGTAGTCATGATCATTTTTAATTGCAATATTCAACAAAAGGTTAGTAGGGGATTTGAGAGACTAATGATAGTGTAATGGAGGGAAAGCAAGTGATGGAACCTACACTATCTAAGCATGGAGTTTGAGTTTCAATAATCCTGAAGAGCCTGTCACATGGGATGAAGCTCCTAAATCTATAACACACCAATTATTCTCATTTTTTAAGATTAGCAAGGACTGTGCCTGATTCACAAAGTTAGAAGTTATAAGAAGCTATATGAGAATCAAACTAAATCAAAAGACGCCATAGGATTTTATTTTTTCATTAGAAAGATTCCTAATATTTGATGTATCTCCAGTCATAGGTGTTCCCATGACCTCAAACAAATTAGCTTGTGGACTTGTAACACCACTTTTCCTATCTCCATGACCCTTGGTAGGTCAGCCATTAAGCTTCCAGCAACTTTTTCTTCTATGTTGTGATTTACCACAATAATCACATATTAAATTATCCTTATCAAATATAGTCTGGTTACTATTTGCAACTCAAGGGAGACACCAGCAACGAAGCCAGTTTCGTCTAGGCCTAACAGATGGAACATTGCACTCCTATGACTCTCCTCTTGCTGAACAGAAGGATAAGCCATTTGCAGAGAGGGTGAAGGATCCTTACTAAGAACTCAAACTCGAATCTAGTCATACTTTATATTTAAGCCAGTAAGAAAATCATACCAACCTTCCTTTTCAACCAACTCTTGAAACTTTGAGGTATCATCAGGACAAGTTGCTTGGAAGTCTTAGTAGTAATCTAATTCCTGCCGTAATTGGCTTAATTCAATAAAATATCGTGCTATAGTCACATCTCCCTATATAGTTGCATGCACCTTATTTCTTAATTCATAAATCTACACATCACTACCAACTATAAATATGTAAGGGAGGCTATACTCCAAATTTTATGGAAAGTGTTAAGAAACAAATATCCAAGCGAAATCTATGGCTACAATGAATTAATCAGCAAAGACATAACTGCTAGAGTTTCAGATTCCCACTAGTTGAGCATAAGACCTTCATCGGTTGGTCTAGGCATATCTCTAGTAATGTACTCTTGTAGCCCACAGCCTTCGATGAACCAAATACAAGATCTTGACCGAGATAATAAATCTCATCAAATTTTACCGGACACATTTTGCAAAAAAGGGTTTTTCTCCTAACAAAAAAATCTTTTCAACACTCTTATCGCCTGTTAGAAAAAGGATACTACCTCTCTCTCTCTTCATGCATGCCCAACTCTTCTCTCTCCTTCAATAGAGACCCCCTTGG